CACTTTTTACCAAAAATGACAAAAATATTCACCAAAATTAGAGAATTGAAGATATCAACATGAAATGAACAAACCTAAGAGAGGTCTACCCAAGGTACATATACACCAAGTATCAAAGCATTCAGGCTTGTAGTTTTCAAGAAGAAGTCGAAAAAGTAAAACATTGACACGGACGACGACGACGGACAATCACTCATATGATAAGCTCCGCTCGACAAAGTCGACAGCGGAGCTAACAAAAAAGGCACCAATGTTTTTGTAAGATATTTACATCTTTTAAGGACATTCGGTAGACTGATTCCCCACTGTTGGTTCAACCCCAAAACTTGTTTGTATTCAAAATTAATTATGACAATGCATATTTATATTGAAACAAACTATGATAATAGGAATAATATTATATAACAAAGGGCAAGGTCACCAGAGTTCAACTATGTTTATGTTTAATTTTTGCACATTTATTAGTTTTCCTGTTAAAAATATTGCCTGTTGCGAAGATTCATTACTAACACAGATTTTTGAGTTTTGTATTATTTCAGAGTTTTTGCGTTCACATGGTGGGAGCTCATGACATGTCCATCCTGGTATATTTCTTGTAAGCCAATGGATTTCGTTGTGTGTGAAATAGCTCTTCTGTCTTCATTATCATGGAACAAGGATCAGTAAAGTGGCATTGTGGTTGACGTTTCGAACTAGTTGTCGAAAATTACATTTTTTACAAATTTGCATATTTTACCACAAATTTAACAAATCTGACAATAGATCACCCTACGTATCATTGCTGGAAATATGAAATCATTTGGACTTACGGTTTCGGACTAGTTGTTGAAAATAAAAATTTTTATGAAAAAAATTCAAATTTGCATATTTTGACACAAATTTAACAAATCTTAAACAATCTTAGTACTTAAACATTAATATAACATTATTATGACTTGTCTTTGAAAATAATCTGCCCAGGCATCTGAAAAATGACAGAACACAAAACATGAGTCCCCATTTTTGTCCGAAGGGGATTAAAAGGTCTGCATTGACATTTCATTAAAATGCGATGATCAGTTTTGGTAAAGCCGAAAATATTTATGCAAATTAGGTAATTATTATGGATATATTTGAACCCGAAACTAATTAGGTCGTCGCATTATCATGTACATTTAAGATAATAATTATGCAAATTATGTAATTAATATGCGTGATTTTAACACAAAACTGATCAGGTCTGTGCATTGTCCTGGGGCAGCTATATACAAAGTCAATGGGGGAAAAGCTAAAAATTTACTATCACGCAAAATAGGCAATTAATACTTCAGCAAAGCATTGAAATACCTCATGTTTTTACACAACTTTAACCTTTGTCATGCATAACACAGGATCACACAACGGGTGATAAAAGGTCTATTAGTATGCAAATTAGCTAATTAATACATTTCCTATGTTATGTTAAACATTCAACTATGGGTACACTAAACAGTACTAGTATGCAAATTTTAACTATTTCAGTAAAGCAGAATATGATAAAAGTAAATTTTGCAAATTAATATTACATATACATACATTAAAAAATATTAGCTAATTAATATGCAATTTTGTACTAAAATCAAATTCAAAAGACTTCATCACTAAGCAACTACCAAATTGCATCCCAATCTACTCAGAGAAACAAGATTTGACGCATACATCTATTGGCCTCTTCTTTGCACACATGCAGGGATGAGAATGACAATTTTAATTTTCAACTGAAAGTAGCCCGGGTCCAAGAACCGTAGTTGATCAAATCGTTACAATACAGACACTGCGCCTTTCCCGGGACCTCGCACTTGCCGATGAAGTCACTCAATTTTTCAGTTACCACTTCATCTTTCTTCCAGATTCGCATGGTCAAAGTCACTTCCTTGTCAAGCCATGCCCAACGAAATTTGTTCCTAATGTCTTTATCGATCTCTCACACAGCTGACTCGTCGTCTTTTGTAACCAATTTCACCATTATTGCTGCTTGAAACTTGTAAACAACAATCCAATACAGCTAACAATTGAAACAATAAAATGGCACCGTTGGTGAAAAGAAAAATTAAAGCTCTTCACTGATTGGTCCGTCAGATCATACCCAGCCAATCATGTTAATTGTTACATATTACTTTGAACACTTTAAAACCACTTTGAATTTACTATTGCATTGATAAAAAGAATCGCGAACATTCCGCATTGGAGACACCGCGAGTTGTCTCTCTTCGACCATACACTGATACAGGTCTCTTGCAGCCGACAACAATGACCCAACAGCGTGTTTACTTCCAGTGAATGAACAAGATTTGTATTCTTACCCCCCCCCCCCCAATTTTCTTTTTGGATTTAGACGTTTTAGAAAATCGATCCATGGGGCTTAGAAATCCGCGGAATTGCGGCTAAAATAACAGCACAACCATTCGAATGCAAGGCCTTCAATAATGCAATGATCAGTGAGAAATAAACACAGTTAAATTCATTCATTTCTTAGGGTCGTAAACAACAACACAAATGAAGAAAACAAATTTTATTTAATGCATGCAAAATATTTTAATTTTTAAACCAACTTTTGACACTGTAAACAGTTTAGCAAAAAACAAAAGTCATCAACTATTTTTCAGTTGACAGGGAAAAGCATAATTACTTTGCAAAATAGAGACATGAAATAATTTCTGCATAGCAGCACACGATGTTAAGTAATGCAGTAAAACTAAATTGCATTAACATTTTTAAAAATTGAAAATTCAAATAAATTTTTAAGTGATAAAGTTTACCCAGTTTCCTACTTTCTGGTGTTTTAAATGACAATGTACAAAGACAATTGTTTCTAAATAAATCTAATTTTCTAACATAATATTGAAACAGTAACAAATGTAAGTTTAAATCAAATCTGATCAAACTTGAAATGGCCCCATGATACATGGCATGTGAAGAGTCTGCATCACTAGCAGGTCTCGCTGGCCCTGGAAAATCTGCAGAACTGACAAACATCCTGAAATATTTCTTGATATTAAAAATCCTGATGTCTTAAGACATCAAACACCACATACAGTGGCCACTCGGACCTTACCTCTATTCTATCTCTGCCATGGCAAATAATAGTTATATTTACATCGTAACATAAATCATTATAATGCACTGATCTTTGAGTTCAATAAAATCACAGTATTACAGACATTTGCATAAAAAAAAAAGGCGAGGACAGCTTTACTACAAGCGTTATTCAAAATTTAAACTATGCAACTTGTGAATTTCTGCTTTTCATTTGGTGGTACATGTATGTTGTAAATTTGTATCTTACACAACTGGCAAATTTAAGTATAGGGGCTACATAGAAAGGACAGAAGATCAGACATGCCAGTTAAAACACTGAATGAAGCATGACAGAGACCGGTTTGGTCAATCACTTAATTTTATGCAAGCAAAAACGTTCAAAAATCATGATTTAGGTAAAAAATTAGTAACATGGTTCTTTAGGCAAAAGAGTGGCAGAAACCTTTGTGAAGTGAAGCCCTTGCAAACACAATTCCAATAAGTTCACAAAAATATATCCCAAACTGCTCTAATAATAATACTTTGCAGAGAATTGTAATTTTTGTGTGTATATGCTACAAGATGGAATACAAATTTTTCAAAAAAATAATAATAAATTGATGATAATCCAAGACAGTTTTCTTCATTCTGTCTGACCTTTCTTCTTTTGTGATTTCCACTCGTTTTTTAATTCTTCACCAGGATCTTCTACAGGGGAAAAAACATAGTGAAACAAGTCATTGTCAATGACATAGTCCCTGTTTGTGAAATATACATGTAAATATGTGACCTAATGTGTGATGTATGAAGTTTAAACCTGATTGGTCCAGGCTCTGTGGAACTGATTTGTTAAAACATGATCGTCAGTCAACCATTTTGGATTTGATGGCGACAAAGATGTATATGATGTCTGATGTATATGTGAACTTGATCAGTCCAGGCATGTTGAATATCAGTCAGCCATTTTAGACCCCAGCCAGAAAAAAAAAGAATGCATAAAGATCTCTTTATGTTCAATGTATAAAACTAAGTTTGAACAGACATGCAAGACTGAGATTCAGTTCCAAAATTTTTCATTTTAAAACATTTTTGCCTTAAATCATCTCAACTTGGATCATAAAATGAATGTGTAGTTTGAACTTGATTGGTCATGTTGCATATATGGATCCAGAACTGCATTCTTTGAAATAAAATGGCTACCAGACAACCATTTTAAACTTCAACTGAAAAATAGACACGCATCAATGTCCCATTCTGTTCAATGTATGTACCAAGTTTAAACCAAATCCGTTCACACACGACTGAGATCTGGTTCCAGAAAAGTAAAAATGTGTGTTTTTAATGCATTTTTGGCATTAAAAAGGCTGCCATCCAGTCATCTTGAATCAAATCATAATAAAAGTGCATGCGCATATTTCCTATATACTGGTACATGTCTGATTTATGTATGAAGTTTGAACTGGATTGGCCTAAGCAAATGTGAGATATGGCTAAATATGAACAGACGAACATACGGAGGTGAATCCACAAGTTTTCTGACTTTGTTGACAACAGGAACTAATGCCATCTTGCCCTTCAACAGATCTGATCTCACAAATGAATTGCAATCTAACAAAGTTTCATGTTTTTACTTGGTCACAAGAGCTGTCTAAACCAAACATTAGTTCCACTACCTTCTCCACTGAGTTGATTTACATAAAATACCTCTATAAACATTGTTGCAGATCAGTTTTATATATGTTCAATACACATTTTCAATCCCTTCACTTACAAGAGAGCGAATTTTTTTTTTTTATACAAGTGGTTCAGGTAACAGCAATTAGGAAAGCAGGCATTTTACATGGTAATAATAGAGCCACAATAAATCACTTTTTGGGTTTACATTAGAGAGGTACCTCATACAAAACAGACATGGTTGAACAATACAGTCATTAACAAATAAACAATACATCATTGTATATTGACCTGTGTCAGTATCCGCCATATCATCCGTGTTTATATCCACCCAGTCATCCAATGAAAATGTACTAGCGCGACTTTTTCTGAAATAAACAATCAAAATCATTCTAGATAATTGTAAACAGATCTCTTGAATTCATGACGATTTCATCGCTATCATTTTCAACGATTTGACAAGAAGCAGAAGATTTTTTTTAAAAATATTATGAATGTTCAGCATAATGTATTAAAATTGACAAAGTGGATTAAATACAGATTCATTTAAACCTTCTCTCCACCAGTTATCTTTTTTCATCACAAATTCACAGAATAGTCCTGTTTATAGTCTACACTTTCCTTCAGAAGATTGGGACAAAAACTAGCCAATACTGAAAATTGACTCAAATTTTGTCTGTTGGCTTGAAGATTTCATTTCAAAAAATGTTGAAGAATGCAAGAAAAAAAAAAGTGGAGAAAAATTTGGGCATGAAAGTCTGGTGGTGAAAAGGTTAAGAACCATACAGAGAGACATTCATATAAGGGTTTTAATAAATTAAATCAAAATGATGTTGACTCATACTGGTATTGTTGGACAACTTTGTGAAAACTGTCGTATAAATTGGTCATGCAATTTTTGAGAAAACAGATATACACAAATGTTCTCAGCCACAACGGCAGCAAAGTATTATGGGCTGAAAACAGCAAAGTATTATGGGCTGAAAACAGCAAAGTATTATGGGCTGAAAACAGCAAAGTATTATGGGCTGAAAACAGCAAATTATTATGGGCTGAAAACAGCTAAGTATTATGGGCTGAAAACAGCAAAGTATTATGGGCTGAAAACAGCTAAGTATTATGGGCTGAAAACAGCAAAGTATTATGGGCTGAAAACAGCAAAGTATTATGGGCTGAAAACAGCAAAGTATTATGGGCTGAAAACAGCAAAGTATTATGGGCTGAAAACAGGTAAGTATTATGGGCTGAAAACAGCAAAGTATTATGGGCTGAAAACAGCAAAGTATTATGGGCTGAAAACAGCAAAGTATTATGGGCTGAAAACAGCAAAGTATTATGGGCTGAAAACAGCAAAGTATTATGGGCTGAAAACAATTGCTCAAAATTACCTTTGTAATGGCAACTTGGTCCTCATTAACTCGGCTGGAACATCTTCTTTTGGGTCTACAAATAGAAGTATATTTATTTTCTTATAGCCAAGGAGTTTGTCAGTTTACACTGCCCATGTGGCACCTGGCATACCTGTTCTGGAATGTTAAACATGATTCTGGCACATATTTACCCTTATTGGAGATTCTAGGAGTGCTTATGTGTGAAGTGAAACAACACGCACAGTCTGTGCCAGGTTCCACTTCATTTGAGTGTACTATGTGTACTGAGTGTAAAGGTTCAGTTTATTTGCCACATAGAGTAAACACATTTGAGCAGATAATATGGAAATTAGCTCATGAATAAGCATGAATTTATTAACAAGTATTTGACATTTATTTACACAAACTGCAGGCTAGGTTCAATGCATTTGTGCAAATAGTTGTGAAGACAGACATAGAAACATGCCATTTGATTTTACATATTAAACAGATTTTCACTGAAAACTAATCTGGTCTCATTCATCAGTTCATTTATCGAAGCATATAAGTTCACATATAGAAGCGAAACAGGGCCACCAGTCGGCCATCTTGAGGTAATCAAATGGGAATGTGCACATGATAGGTGTAAATTTTGAACATGATCGGTCCTGGAATGTACAAGATACAGATGCAAAGTTTTTAAACAATAGCAGCATTAGTTTTTGGTGATCACTCAAGCATGGTTAAGTGCAGACAATTGCAATTAATTGACAGAAAGTGGTGTGAATATTAACATAACAAACACCTATTGGAGGAGCATCACACTTTTTTTCTGTGCTGTGATAACTTGAAGTATCTGTGATCAAAGTCGCATTTTTATTACAGGAAGATGAACAGATTACGAAAAGCAGCAGATTAAGGTATATCCATACTCTAAAAGTGCTCACCTAAACCACTCATGAGATCACTAGAACTTCCTGACAGTGCAACTAATCTACTCTGCAATTCTGTTCCACTGACAGTACTGTCACTCATTTCTTGGTTTTCATCGATCACTTGCTGTTTGTTGTCCACTAGCTCACTGTCATCTGTAGCTCTACATTGACCATCTACAAAGTCACTATCATCAATGGTAATAGCTTCTCCTTCAGTGACTAGCTCACTGTCTTCTGTAGCTCTACCTTGACCATCCAAATCTACAAGTTTACTACCAACTATGCTAATAGCTTTGCCTTCAGTGACTAGCTCACTGTCTTCTGTAGCTCTACATTGACCATCCATATCTATAAGGTCAACACTATCATCTATAGTTTGGACTTCATTATCTACAAAGTCACTAAAAGCTACGGATACAGCTCTAGCTACACTATCTACATCTTTACTGTCTTTAGGATTAGCTTGGCCTTCAGTGTCTACAAAATTCCTATCACCTATGATACTAGTTTGGTTCTCAGTGTCATAGTATTCTACAGCCATAGCTTGGCCATTTGCATCTACAAAATCACTATCATCTATGGTACTAGAATGGTCTTCGCTGTCAACAAAGTCACTATCATCTATAGCCTTTCCTTCTGTGTCTACAAAGTTACTATCATATATAGCCTTTCCTTCTGTATCTACAAAGTTACTATCATCTGTAATCTTTCCTTCTGTATCTATGAAAACACTATCATCTATAGCCTTTCCTTCTGTATCTATTGAAGCACTAGCATCTATAGCCTTTCCTTCTGCATCTACAAAGTTACTATGATCTGTAGCCTTTCCTTCTGCATCTACAAAGTTACTATCATCTATAGCCTTTCTTTCTGTATCTACAAAGTTACTATCATCTATAGCCTTTCCTTCTGCATCTACAAAGTTACTATCATCTATAGCCTTTCCTTCTGCATCTACAAAGTTACTATCATCTATAGCCTTTCCTTCTGCATCTACAAAATCACTGTAATCTACAACCTGACTTTCTGCATCTACCAAGTCATTATCATCTACAGTCTGGTTATCTATAACCCTATCCTGGACTTCAGTGTTTACAAAATCATTGGAATCAAAAGAGGTTGTCACAGTGCCTACATAGTCGCTATAACCTACAGCCTCAGAATGGCCTTCTTGGCTGTGATCACCTATAGCACCAGCTTGGTATCCACTTACAACCTTATCTATAACCTTGCTATCCGCTACTACACAGATCTGTGAATCCATACATGCATCTTTCACCTCGTCTGCAGTGTGTTCTGTGATAGCAACTAAACGCCAATCCCTTTCGACTCTTGAATCAGTACTTTCAACAACTATGCTATCCTCAGTGTGCTTGTATTCATCTTCACAGAATGCTAACACTGATCTTAAACCTGGGGAGCTTTTTTGTGAAATGCAACTGTCTCCTACACTAATCTCTGCTCTAGCAGCTTTCTCGATGATGTCATCTACGAATTTATTAACTAAATCTGCAAAAGAAAAAGACGGAAAAGATGCATGTGCAAGTGCAAGAACAGCATAAAGAGTACAAAACACCCATTTTACTTGATTATCATTTCAAATTACATGTAGCACGATAATCAAAATGATACATTAAATATTAGTGATGTGCAGAATATATTCAATAAATTTGATTATAGGCATAACTGAAAGAAAAGATTATTAATTGTGGATATCATATACCCTTATGTAAATGACAAAGGTGCAACTATGGTAATAAGTCTTAGTTTATTGATCCAGAATAAGTGCAACTGTTGGCTTACATGCACATACAATATATGTATTTCAAGAATATGGTTCAAGTGAAAAATAGTTTAGAAAACTTCAGGTCATGAGAAGATGAAGTAGCTCCAGACTGGAATCGCTGATGGTACATGTACTCCAATTAAGGGAGGATAGCAGTAATGAGTTATTCATAGTGTGGCAGTGTGATGATCATAATTCAGGTGCCATCTTCCATAACACATTGCTAGAGGGCGGTATAACCACAAATTTCATCATCACTCGCATTTGACCTAGACATTCTCCATAATACAATGTTAGAGGGCAGTATAATTTAAAATTCCATTCTCACTTGCATTTGATCTAGACATTCTCCATAATACAATGCTAGGGGGCAGGCTGTATAATCCCAAATTTCATTATCACTGGAATTTGATCTAGACATTTTCCAAAATAAAATGTAAGAGGGCAGTATAATCGCATTTAAACTAGATATTACAATTCTAGACAGTATAAAATTACAAATTTCATCACCAACATTTGTCCATACGAACAGATTTTTCATCAGATATTATAATACTGACCCAACATGACCTTCATGTTAACAAATAAATATACATTTAGAAACCTGTAGGATATGTAAATATGAATAGTATAATTTTTATTTCAGCAAAGATTACTACCTCTTACAAAATAGATTTCTTACCTTTTTTCTGCCCATTGTCATCCCCCACAGTATTCTCATCACTAAACACACCACTGTGTTCACTTATATCACCAGGTTTGGCTTCTGTCACGACAAACAAACTCATCATCTCAGCATCAGCTGTCTTTCCAGGGCTTGACCACTCCCCTTCGCCAGGAACCTCAGATACCCCACTATCACCACTAGTCTTTCCCCTTGGCAGTTCAGTCTCGGATCTGTCTACAACATCCTCTGCCATTTCTAGTGAGGAGAGCTTCCTGATATCGCTCAGACTGGTTGTACTCTCAGTCCATCCCAACTCCTCTGGTATGAGCTTCACCAATTTTCTTCTGTCACCAGCACAGTCAACAGTGGCCACAATGACATCTGTTTCCAAAACGGTCTTATCTGTACAGAGCCCATCACCTGCTCCATCAAGTACTCTGCTATCGATCTTTCCCAAATGTTCATAGCCATCTTTTTTTTCTGAAGAAATATCCTCACCAAATTCAATTTTTGTGCTAACGTCTTGAGAGGTAGCCTCTACCATCATTGTGTTCATAACTAAGTCTGTGTCACATTCACCTATACCTTCATCTGGTTCTTTCATCTTTGTCTCCATGGCAACATACTGACTATCGCCTTCTATGCTGTCCTCTTCAAGATCTTCAGTGTAGTCAGAAATGTCACAAGAATTGGTGTTGTCAGAAACTGATATTATGTTTATTTTCGGTATTGCTTTCACAGGAGTGGAATCTTCATATATTGCCCAGTCTCTCGTGTCTGGTAGTTTTTTTTGCAAGGTTCCATCATCAATACTGTCCAGAAAATCCTCACAAAACTCATCAACCTCCGTATTTCCTGATCCTTCTCCATCTTTTTCAGAATCAACATTTTCATTTGCAGCCACATCTGCTTTTAGAAAATCTTTACTTCGCAGTGTCTCAAAAATGGTTTCTGACTTTGCAGTGTCTGTGTCAACATTCTTGTTTTCATTGTGTGCACTTTCAAGAAAATCATTACTACAATTGCTCTGTGGTGTATCACACAATTCATCACCATCCTCAATTTCCGATCTTGCACCATTTTTTCCTGATTCAACATTCTTTCCAGCCCGTTCAGTTTCAAGGAAATCTTCACTCCAATTGCTCAATGGCATATCTAACAATTTATCACCCTCCTTACCTGAAGATTTTTCAGCTTTTTTTGATTCAACATTCTTTCCAGTCTGCTCAGTTTCAAGAAAATCTTCGCTCTGAGGTGTACCAAACAATTTAACACCCTCCTTGACTTCAGATCTCTCTTTTTCTTGAATGCTAACATCACTCTTCTCAAGAAAATCTTCACTCGTATCGCTTTGCAATGCGATTTTATCTGCATTTGTCATCTCTATCACTGTTTCACTCTGTAATGCTTCAGGGATTGTTTCCTGCGTTGTATCAAGCAGTCTATCGTCACTATCTCCCCATACATCATGTTCCTGTACAGCTGTAGAATCACTCTGGCAACCATCTGCTTTAGCATTGGTTGCCATGGCAACTTCTAATTCACTCACATTCCCCATTTGTAAAACTATTTCTTCACCACTTATATCTTCGTCATAATTCACACCTTCAGGTGGATGCACTGTTGCCAAGGCAATAGCTGCATCTACAATGCTTTTTTCATCTATGTTTTCTTGGTTGGCACTTTCTGACAATGTGACAGGCTCTGCAACCGAACAAACTCTAAGCATAACTATGCGGTATCACCAGTTGAAGATGTAAGTAAGAGTTTCACATTGGTTAAAATCCACTCACAGAACAAAGGTATTCACACAAAGGCACCTCTCATACAAATAAATAAGTAAGCAACAAATCACCTGACTCAAATCCATCGTATTATTTCAATCACATCACACAGATATCAAACATGGGAAAAAATGCAAACTTTTCTCACCTATCATCTATATTGTAAACTGCATTTACCTTTCTGGAACTATATCCTATGTGCTGAAGGTATTGGAGGCATGAAGTACAAATACAGAATACTGTATTTACTAGTTTTATTACAATTTTATGAGTGGGTGGTAATAAACAGAAGCGAATGCACTACCCGCAAACACTCCAATTGTGTTCTTTGCACACAGGAGTCAAAAACCAAGACAAATTTTAAAATAGACGATTCAATATGCAAATGAAGCAATTAATAAAAGCCTGTGATATATGAACCAAGTTTTGTTGAAATATGTTGTGTAGTTTTTAGGATACAAGTGAAACAGTGTCAAATTAGCCAAAATATTATCTGCAAATAATGATGCAAATTAAGTAATTAGTACGCATATATTTCAACCCAAAAGTAAGAGGGTCTGAAGAGAACATATATTACAATTACACACATATACAGAGTATAAAAATAACATTTTGTGTCTTTGCATACACCCTTACATTTATTTCACCTCATTACCTCATGTTTTATTATCAATGGGATCTTGATCACACATCACCATGGTTGCCTAACCTTATTGTTTTATCTATTTATTTGAAGATGGTCACTGCTAACCTTTCTGATGCAGGAATATCCTGACATTTAGGGAATTTATACCTTGTGACTGTTTTTTGTATGAAAAAAATTGTGGTACCCAAACTAATTTTTGAATTGAAAACCTAAGTTTTATGTATGCCAGAGTAGGGTTTAACACAAAGTCATTGTTTCCATGGAAACAAGTTTTGATTCCCTGCCTCTTTGTTATCTTTTATTTAATTGTACCTTCTGCAAGCAAAATAATTTTTAAAGCTTATAAAATATTCACATATTTTACTCATTAGCCAGGTCCCTGCTTAATACTTAAACCACTAACCTTTCTTCACAGCGCCTAAAGGTTTGGCATAATTTTTTGATATCAGAATCTTACTAATATCTGTATTATTGACATCATACAACTTGACTTGAACTTTCTTGTCTGAGCTTATACTCACAACTCTTGCTGTTAGTAATTTATCCTTGCACCATTCTGCAAATGAGCAAAACATTTTAAAAATGATAGTGAACAAGCAGCCTGTCAGCTGAGATAGCTCCACTGTTAGCAATGCACATTGCAATTAATAAAAACTGAAGATATCATTAGAAAATGAACAATCAACCTTGCTATTTTCAACAAGAATTCGAAAATATTACTTTTTACCAAAAAACACAAAAATAATCATTGAAGATATGATCATCAAATGAACAAATCTGAGAGAGGGCCACATGTAGTACCTATATATGTAATATCAAAACAATCGGACTTGCGGTTTTTAACAAGAAGTCGAAAATATCACTTTTTACCAAAAATGACAAAAATATTCACCAAAATTAGAGAATTAAAGATATCATTACAAAATGAACAAATCTGAGAGAGGTCCACATGTAGTACCTATATATGTAATATCAAAGCAATTGGACTTGCGTTTTTTAACAAGAAGTCGAAAATATCACTTTTTACCAAAAATGACAAAAATATTCACCAAAATTAGAGAATTGAAGATATCAACATGAAATGAACAAACCTAAGAGAGGTCTACCCAAGGTACATATACACCAAGTATCAAAGCATTCAGGCTTGTAGTTTTCAAGAAGAAGTCAAAAAAGTAAAACATTGACACGGACGACGGACAATCACTCATATGATAAGCTCCGCTCGACAAAGTCGACAGCGGAGCTAAAAAGTTGATGCGGACGACGACGGACAATCACTCATACGATAAGTCGACAACGGGGCTAAAAAAGTGGCCACCCAGATATTGTGGTATGACCGAAATTGGTAATTACTTAACAGGGTTCATGGTTTTCTTTGAAGTTTGCTGAATCGCATAAGTGCATATCTGATATATGCAGGTCAATATTTTCGGACATTTGATCAACCAGCACAATGCCTTCAGAAAGATCCATACATTGCATTTCATAAACCTTAAATAATGCTATGAATGCCAAAATAAACTGTCCATTAAAAAAAAAACAGGTTGATCAAGACCTGTAGACAACAGGAAATTAGGTTCATTAAGACATATATTGTGGAAAAATGTGGTACCAAAATGAGGAATTTGATCATACTTGCCTTCAAATAGTGTTTTAGCATCATCTGTCCAGTCATTATCAATTGGTTGCACATCTGCAAGACAAAACTTCAGGGCTTGGGCAGTAACTTCAAACATCTCAGATGGAATGATCCGGAGATGAGTCAGAGGAACAGTTTCAGTGTTAGCATAATCCATAAAATAGACCTCACACTCAACATCAGAAATAGCAATGATCACAGCACGATACCATGGACCATGATGAGGAAACTGAGCTAAGCATGGCGTACCAGGGAGCGGCTCATTTAGAACAGTGCTATGTTTTCCATTACAAAAATCATTCACCTTCTGAGTAACAGTTTTCAGCTCTTCTGCAGTTTCAGCAAACTGGCAGATGAAGTTACTTGGTGACATTTGCGTGAGGAACGTCAACTGAGTATCTGAACCAATAATGTCTGGCATTAGATGGGATACTACAGACTTCAGCAGCTCTTCTTTGGCAGGATATACAAGAGGACGGTCTGGTTGAGGATATGACAACAGTTCATCCAATGGCATATTTGGCTGGACATCCACTATCCCAGTATTCAAATCTGGGCTTTGGGCATCGTTTGACACCATCCTACATTTACCTTTCTCCTTTCCAGCTGGTGACTGCGCAAACTCAATAATGTGCGTCTCAACAACCGGTTTCTTCAAATGTTCAGTTGTAGGTTTGATACTATCAAGAAATGACTGGCCTACATTGGTGCCTTTGTCGTACAACTCCACCAGGTAAACACCTGTGTATGGCTGCTGAAGAACTTTAGCTGTAAATGGCTTTCCATTAAGCTGATCGTGCAACAAAGATGTGATATTACTAGACGAAATAGTCCCTGACTGGATGATTTCCCGGATGTAACACTTTATGGCCATGGCTGGAATCTTCAAATACTCAAGCTTTATGAGTCTAAGGTGGTCTGCAGGAACAACTGCAGTGTTACCATAGTCAACGAAGAAGACTTCAACATTGGAGTCATCTATGATTCCTGTGGTTATGGCACGCTTCCATTGAGCATCAGCCATACTCAACACCATACATGGAGTGCCAACTTCCAATTCTGCCATTAGAAGCTCTCCAATTTCAATCTTGGAGTAATCATCCTGCAAAGTAACAGACAGGGACTGAAGAACTAAACTCAATCTACTCAGCTGGCAGTATATCTTGGGTGCAGAAACTACCTTGATGACGTAAACTTCTTCACTGCCACCCAATTCCATCTCAGCAATAGAGAAGGATAGTTCAGGAACACTAGCTGGTAGAGGCTGCAGTTTGTTGATTAGGCCAGTCTTGCCTAGATCAGCATCTGATGGCAGAACTTCTTGAGAGCCAGCAGGTTCCTCTTGTGAGCCAGAAGGTTCTTCTGGAGTGGGCTGGCCAGCAAGGTCTTCTAGAGTAGGCTGTTCAGACTCTTTCTCGCCACTAGCCTCTATCACAGCAGTATCAAGTACAGTTTCTTCATCCCCTTCAGCAGTTAATATCTGTTTCTCCAAGTCCAAACACCCATCTTCCTCTTTAAGATGGACTTCATGACTTTCTCCAGCATCATCCTTATTTGTATGATTTTCCAAAGAGGTTTCTTTGTCTTTAATCACTCTCCTCTCCACCAATCCCTCAACAAGCATCTGCTCTGATACTGATATCTCTTCATCAAATAAGTCAACATCTAAACTCTCAATACCAGAAGCCACAACTTTGGCTGTCAGGCTCTTTTCCAGCACAAGTTCCTCAAATCGGACTTCCGCCTCATGAGGCCATGTGTTGGATTTTTTCTGAACTCCAGAGAGACAACATGCAATGGCCTGTTCTTCTAGTTGTAAAAATTTGATTGAGATGGCACGCACATCTTTAAATGAACATTCCTGTGAGTTTCCATAATCAACAAAGTATATTGAATATGAAGACTCATGAATTTCGGCTATACTTCCGCGATACCACTGACCATCAGAAAATAGAGCCAAACATGGCATTTGAACCATGACCACTTCCATAGCTGACTCATTCTCAACATTAGTACTATATGCTTGGATTTCTTCCATCAAATCTGTCAGTTGAGTACCTGCATTTGCTAACTGACAATGGAAGTTCCATGGACATACAACTGAGGAGATAAAAACTTCTTCAACCTGCCCAACTTGGAAGACCATCTTGGTGAATCTATCTTCATGACTGGCAAGTTTATTTTCATCATTAGGAGAATAAAACTTGTCTGCCATTTTTCTGTTAATGTTTTGATTATCATGGTTCAATGAAACTCTGTATGGATGCTGCTCATCAAGAAACAATACACTGAGAGTCTTCTCTAAAGTCAGTGCTGAGAAATGCGTGTACACATCTGGAGATGAATCAATGCTTGAAATATCAAGCATGCACTCAATGGAAAATGGTGGCAGACTGCATAACTGTGGAGTGATCATCTTGACTTCAGACCTTACAATTGTCTCTGTATTACCATAATCAACAAACAACACTTTAACTTTGTCTCCAGTGATTTCTACAACTTCAGCTCGATACCAAGCTCCATCAGAGTATTTAGTACAGCAAGGCATCCCACATTTCAGTTCAATGATAGTCTCTTTGCTAGCAGTACTGTACTCTGCATCAACATCTGACATCAAGGTACCCAGTCTCTCTTCCTCACATGCTAGTTGTATGTAGAATTTCTTGGTGCTTTCAATATAGGAAACATAACCATCAATTGGAAGTCCAGTCTCTACAGTACGTGATGCGTATGACTGAGCTACTTGTGGTTCCTGAATCTGTTTTGGTGCAGGTGTCTCAACAACTGGTTGAAACCTCTTCACAATTGTGTCCTTAATGTTCTGGTTTTCATGAATGAGGGTAACTTTACAAGGTTGATCAGAGTTCAGGAAAGTCACACTGAGCGTCTTTTCCAAAGTTAGTTCTGAGAAGGAGTTGTACACCTCGGTGGTGGATTCTATCCTGTCAATATCCAACTTGCATTCAATGGAAAATGGTGGCAGACTGCATAACTGTGGTGTGATCAACTTGACCTCAGACCTCACAATTGTCTCTGTATTACCATAATCAACAAACAACACTTTTACTTGGTCACCAGTGATTTCTACAACTTCAGCTCGATACCAAGCTCCATCAGCCGAGTATTTAGCACAGCAGGGCATTCCACATTTCAGTTCAATGATGGCATCTTTGCTAGCGGTACTGTATTCTGCCTCAACATCTGACATCAAAGTACCCAGTCTCTCTTCCTCACATGCTAGCTGTATGTAGAATTTCTTGGCGGATTCAATATAGGAAACATAACCATCAATTGGACATCCAGTCTCAAGTTCACGAGAGGGATACATGATTTCCTTTTGTGTTGCATTAGTTGGTTGTGGTTTTACATGACTTGTCTCAATGATTGCAGGTGCCTCAACAACTGGTTGAAACCTCTTCACAATTTCTTCATTAATGTTCTGGTTTTCATGAATGAGGGTAACTTTACAAGGTTGATCAGAGTTCAGGAAAGTCACACTGAGCGTCTTTTCCAAAGTTAGTTCTGAGAAGCAGTTGTACACCTCGGTGGTGGATTCTATCCTGTCAATATCCAACTTGCATTCAATAGAAAATGGTGGCAGACTGCATAACTGTGGTGAGATCATCTTGACTTCCGGTCCTACTATTGTCTCTGTATTACCATAATCAACAAACAACACTTTTACTTGGTCACCAGTGATTTCTACAACTTCAGCTCGATACCAAGCTCCATCAGTCGAGTATTTAGCACAGCAGGGCATTCCACATTTCAGTTCAATGATAGCATCTTTACTAGCAGTGCTGTATTCTGCCTCAACATCTGACATCAAGGTACCCAGTCTCTCTTCCTCACATGCTAGCTGTATGTAGAATTTCTTGGCGGATTCAATATAGGAAACATAACCATCAATTGGACATCCAGTCTCAAGTTCACGAGAGGGATACATGATTTCCTTTTGTGTTGCATTAGTTGGTTGTGGTTTTACATGACTTGTCTCAATGATTGCAGGTGCCTCAACAACTGGTTGAAACCTCTTCACAATTTCTTCATTAATGTTCTGGTTTTCATGAATGAGGGTAACTTTACAAGGTTGATCAGAGTTCAGGAAAGTCACACTGAGCGTCTTTTCCAAAGTTAGTTCTGAGAAGGAGTTGTACACCTCGGTGATGGATTCTATACTGTCAATATCCAACTTGCATTCAATGGAAAATGGTGGCAGACTGCATAACTGTGGTGTGATCATCTTGACCTCAGACCTCACAATTGTCTCTGTATTACCATAATCAACAAACAACACTTTTACTTGGTCACCAGTGATTTCTACAACTTCAGCTCGATACCAAGCTCCATCAGCCGAGTATTTAGCACAGCAGGGCATCCCACATTTCAGTTCAGTAACATAGTTTGTACTATTTGAGCATTGTGATTCAAGATCATTCATCATTCGTCCGAGTGCTTCCTCTTGAGTCACCAACTGTACATAAAACTTATTAACACTTTCAATGTATGACACATACCCTTCTTCTGAACGTCCAATTGTCACTGCACGTTGGGGAAATTTCGTTACTGACACTGCAACTGAATCTGCAGAAGTACTGATCGATTTTATATCAGGTTTTTGAAGTATTCCTAGTTCCTTGTTAATATTCACATCAATTTCTCCTGTTGTATCATACAGCTCAACCAATATTTTGAGACCTTCTTTTTTTAGTGCTTTCGCAACTAAATGCTTCTCTGCTGTCATTTCTTGGAAGGTTTCGGTCATTGCATTTGTAGAGTCTCCAACACCTTGAAGACCACACTCAATTGCTTGAACGGGAAAATGTGAAAACTTGATATCCAGGGCTTTAACAGACTTACCAGGGACTACTTCTGTATTACCAAAATCACAGAAAAAGACAGTAATATCATTTGTATGACTGATATCCTTAACAATGGCTCGGTACCAAGACTCATCAGTATAAAGTGCAGCGCAGACTTCTCCAGGTTTCAAGTCATCCAAAGAAGTAGTTCTGCGCTGGTCATAATGACTTGTCATCTCACTCACCAATTGGTCCAGCTGAGTAGACTGTCTTACCTGGTTGCACCAGAACTGCAAAGGGCTTTCCACATGTGAAACCATTAAATCATGATATTCTCCTAGCTGTAGGTCGTCACAGGCAGGAAGTGATAATTTTGTAATCTTTAGAGCAACTGCAAAATACAATAGGTTCAATTTAAATATTAGATTCAAGTTGAGTAAGCAAACATGGTACGTATAATACATTATCACCAGTCTGGTCTGCAGTCATAGTCTATTTTTTGTTGATTATATATGGCTATTTTGTAATTTCTAGGAAACTTTTAATAAAAATAAGACAGATTTGTGAAGATTTTGCCTTCAAATAAAATTTTGTTCCTGTCTAAAATGACAGACAGGTGGCTGGCTAAAAACACGATTATCACATGCATAATGTGTGTATCTTCGAAGTGTGATGTAATACCGGACATAATGTATACATACATATGGCTTGCCCTGTTCATGCAGGGGTTTCATTAAAGCACGGTGGTCGTCGCACAGCGAGTGTTCGAATTTCATGTAAATAAACAATGTATTTTACACGCGTTGTATACGTCACTATGTGTCCCATATCGAACAGGACGCGGCTACAAGCCCAAATTGGCGGTCTACTTTCTGGTCTCTCAACAACCATCCCCCTTCGCACTGCCAAGAACCTTTTTATTTATTTTGACCTATTGTTACGGAATGATGGCTTGCTATTAAATGTATTTGTGAAACCTCTGTCATGTAAGGGTGGGCACAGCATAAGATTGGAAGATGAACTGGAAAGGGTAGAGAAAATCACAGCATGGACTGGAAAGGGTAGAGAAAATTACAGCATGGGAAGGGAAGATGATAGCATGAGTCATTAACAAACAATACCACTAGACGTCAATGCGAACTTAAATATATTTGACACTCTTTCACCCAGAGGTATATTAGGTCTGTTTTACCCAGCAACCAGTACTTCCTTTGTTTTTCATGAACTTGAGGCCAGTTTCTCAGTCCCTTTTGTTTTTATATAGGCATTTCCGCCCAGGCTGTACTTCTTTCAGTGGTGTATCATGGGAGAGGGGGGTCCACACTTTATTGCCATCCCTAGTGAGTTTTTTCAGCCCCTTAGTATTACTGCGTTTTCCCAGCCAGCAGGTTAGTTTTTATTTTGACTATTTTTCTGATTGCTTTGTTCATCTTTCTCCATTGATTTTTGTATTTTGTTGCATTCACTCTTGTTTCTTATCCCCTATTACGTATTTATTCGTTTATTCAGTTATGTTTTATTTCCATTTATTTTTGCCAGGTAGAAATAAACTTCTGGTTGAGCTACTATTTCTTATTACCACTATATTAACCACTTGGTGTGCTTCATCACTTCAATGAAGACTTCTAACGTTGTAGTTGGACAGACTCTATTTTTTACTACTTCATTAATTAACCAGATATAAAAGTTTGAGATGTAATCATCTAATCATAATATTGTTACAAGGTTGATTGGAAGTAACTCATAATGAATCTTTAAAGAAACAATTTAAATGAATTCAAAAGTAGGTGTAATGTATTATGTACAGCAACACAGAAACAAATGTTGAAGTTATGAATGCTGTTAATTTAAGTTGAATGACCAGACCCTTATATTCACAAAGTCAACACTATTGTTTATTTATTTACCATGAATTTCAACAAAATTTCTAAATCAACCTGATTAGATTACATCCCTCCCTATTTTACTGACTGGTTTAGTCCTAATTGATACCAGCACGGTCTTTTTAATATGGTCAAACAAGGAAACAGGTATCCTCGGGGGCGGAGCTACGTCACGGACGTTCTATGTTGCTAAGACGCGCACCACTGTACCACGTATTTCTATGGGCTTTGTGCGCGCTGCTGTGGAACGCCGGTCGAGCCAGTGAAAATTCGAGAAAACAACATAAACTCAACTTTGAAGTAATCCTGAACAACCAAATTCATATATGTTACACATGTAGGGCTAATCTTGTTACACTGTTCATGGGAGTCTCAACAACCATCCCAAAGTACAGTTTTCTGCGAGTTTTTGGTCTTTGTTTTCACCGCGAGGGTTGTCAGGCGGTAGAAAATGCCCGGATGTCCGCCCCGAGGATAGTAGATATTTAGTTATTGAACAATAAGTTAAAGTGCGCCCTCTGTTGATAAGATTTACACACCAAGCGACCTTGCGGTCAAAAGAGCTCCGCTGTAATTCAACTGTGAGTTGGAAACGTACATGATGTTGATAAAAGAAACTGATCATTGTATTAATACCAGTTTCAAATAATAGAGATCATGAAAAACATTGGCCCATGTAGTTCAGAACCAAACACAATGTATATTGAAAAATACCACAGAAAACATTGGCCCAGATAGTTCAGTATCCAACACACTGACAAACTGTTACAGTTGTCTAATAGCAGCAAAACATATAAATATTGAAATGGCCTTGACCTGAAATTCAACATTTTTGAAAAACATTGGCTCTGGTACCAACAATACACTAGTACATCGTCATGTATTATACATAGCCCATATATAGAGTATGGGGGAGAGAGGGGGGGGGGGGGGAATCACCAAAAAAATAATAACTTTCACAAAAATAAAGAATCTTCACCAAATGAACAAATTTGAAAGAGGACCAGTCCATTATGAATCTCAGAGCAACCTTTCAGGTGGTTTTGGGGAAGTCTGAGCAAACCGAGCAAAAAACAGCATCAAACATATAAACACTGAAATGACCTTGATCTGAAATTAAACATTATTGAAAAACATTGGCCCGAGTAGTTCAGTACCCAACAATACACTTGTCTATTACAGTACATCTATTATACATAAGCAATATATAATGTATGGGAAAGAGGGGGGAAAAAGGGCGGTTTTAGGGAAGAAGTAAAAAATATGCAAAAATGAGCACATAAGCAGCCTATCGGCTGAGATAGCTCCGCTATTAGCAATGCACATTTCAATTAAAGAACTGAAGACATCATTAGAAAATGAACAATATGTATAGTATCAAAGGAATCGGACTTACAGTTTTTAACAAGAAGTCGAAAATATCACTTTCTACCAAAAATGACAAAAATATTCACTAAAATTAGAGAATTAAAGATATCATTACAAAATGAACAAACTTGAGAGAGGTCCACATGTAGTACCTATATATGTAATATCAAAGCAATTGCACTTGCGGTTTTTAACAAGAAGTCGAAAATATCACTTTTTACCAAAAATGACAAAAATATTCACCAAAATTAGAGAATTGAAGATATCAACATTAAATGAACAAACCTAAGAGAGGTCTACCCAAGGTACATATACACCAAGTATCAAAGCATTCAGGCTTGTAGTTTTCAAGAAGTCGAAAAAGTAAAACATTGACTTGGACGACGGACGATGACGGACAATCACTCATATGATAAGCTCCGCTCGACAAAGTCGACAGCGAAGCTAAAAAATTGTCCGCCAGTCGGCATGAATATAGAAAAACACAAAATGGCCGCCAATCGGCTATCTTGGGCCGAATCTCAAAAAAAAAAAGTGACGTGCACCTATAACCCAATATGCATGATCACCATACAAAGTTTGATAGAAATCACCCAGTTCAGTTCAGAGAAACAATTCTGGACACGTTAAAGACTGATTTTAAGATAGTAAACAAAATGGCCGCCATTACAACAAATTTGATCAAATCTCAAAACAAAACATGGTGTTGTGTTATCTTGAAGTATAGTACATATGTACAAACTTTGAACTGAATCAGGCCATATCTTATGGAAGACGAAATCAGCACAAAAACGATGAAAAAAAAAAATGGCCGCCAGTCAGCATGAATACAGAAAAACACAAAATGGCCGCCAGTCGGCCATCTTGGACCGAATCTCAAAAAAAAAAAGTGACGTGCACCTATAACCCAATATGCATGATCACCATACAAAGTTTGATAGAAATCACCCAGTTCAGTTCAGAGAAACAATTCTGGACACGTTAAAGACTGATTTTAAGATAGTAAACAAAATGGCCGCCATTACAACAAATTTGATCAAATCTCAAAACAAAACATGGTGTTGTGTTATCTTGAAGTATAGTACATATGTACAAACTTTGAACTGAATCAGGCCATATCTTATGGAGGAATCAGCACGAAAACGTGAAAAAAACAAAATGGCCATCTTGCATGATCACCATACAAAGCTCGATTGAAATCAGCTCAGTTCAGCTCCGAGAAACAGTTCTGGACACGTTTAAATATCAGAATTTGATGGACAAAATGGCTGCCAGTCAGCCATATTTAATCGAATGATAATAAAAATTGGTGTGCATATGCAGCATTCCCATTCACGTACTGCAGTACGTAATTCTCGTATAAATAAAATAGTGCGCGCCAAATTTCAACTCATCTACGTTCCATTAATGTATAAAATTATATTGCGCCTACGTTTTTCATAGGTCTACGTCAACGTTAATTTAGCCTGAAAATCATTGAACTCCGCGCGAACATTTGACAACCAGCTTGTAAGTTACGTAAAACGCCGGGTGTTGAACGCAAGATGGAAAAGCCAAACAGTAGGAGTATTTTTTTTGTAACAGAAAAAATGATTGGTTAATTTTGTAATGATGATGAAAAAATAGCCAATCAAACGACCGTTTACGTGATAACACATAGACGTCATCGTAAACGAGGGTCATTGTAGAATAAAATGGCGGCATGTTAGCTTGTAGTTGCTTGCAGTTAGCGAGGACCTTACACGTTTAACTCTAACATATCAACTGTATAACTGGTATGTATTCTGTTTTCATATAATTTTCGCCGTTTTTAAAGTAATCTCTGTAATTTTGAACTACGTATTCATTGATATTTGCTTGCATAATGCGTTTATTGTAGTGACAATGTGGGAATCCAAGCCGCAACACATGTTTGAGTTTTACTGTCTCGTACACTGTAACAGTAGAATTTTACTGTAGTTAATTTTAATGTTTTTTTTCGTGCAAAAAAATTGCCAACTCTGAACTGCCACGTGCTGGAATTCTACCATGGCCGGCAGAGCCGGGGGTCAGCATAATCGTATTAACACAATATTTAATTATCTTACGGCAGGTAGCGGTACGCACCATGGACAGTTCGGTGTTCAAAACGAAAAACAGGCAGTCACGCCCGAAGATGTTTACCCGCAGCAGGCAGATGCTGTGGATTTTAATCACAAGCTTGTGAAGGGCCTAGTAGTAGTACATAGAATGATAATTGAGTATGCATCCAAGCAACCAGGATACAATCAGGATGAGGTTGTCAGATTAGCAGCTACATTGCATAAAATTTCATGAAGACTGTGTGTAAACTTGTCTATAAATGAGAATTGCAAAATAAATAAATTTCTGTGAAATCTTGTGTATAATCTTTATTCTGAGCTACAACAACCAATCCCAGTGCAGATAAATAATACTGGCCCTGGCCCTCCTAGAAATACCCCCAATTTTTGATGTAGAGGGTACAGGTGTACCCCCAAAATGTGTGTTATACCTCCAGTTTTCTGTATAGAGGGTACATATACCCTCAGTTAAAAAAGACAGTGGGAATGCTGATATGTAGGTCGTCTGTATGCCAAGTTTGAACGAGATGGGTCAAAGGGTGTCCGAGAAATGGCTCTGAACGGACAGAACCCAAATTATTAGTCCCCGTTTTCTGACTTTGTCCGAACGGGGACTAACAAAATTTTCAAATTATCCTGTATATCCAGGTAAGAACCCCCCACCTTTAGTGAAAATATGCAAATTCTCCAAATCCTTTGACCGGCAGTTAGATTTTGTAACACGTTACAAAATGAACTTGCATAATTTTTCCATATTTTTTTCAAAATTTTAGCCAATGAAAAATTATGTCCATTTTTTAAGATGTTGAAATTGTTGCGCCAAAATACGAGGGAAAGATTGCATTTTCCAAAGTGTTTATGTTAATATGTACAGTCATATTCAGACTTACCTGGACTGACAACTTCTTGCTTTCCTTTCTTCAAATTTTCACGAAGCACCTCACCAATATCTTTATTCGCAGCGTTTGATAGTGATACGTCATACAGACCAAAATCACATTTCGTAACCTTGCAATTTAATGGGTCACCATTACCAACCAAAGCATCAAACTCTGTCTTATCTTCAACCTCAGAGAAACCGCTTAGACAACATTGGAACGCTTGCGCTGGCAGCTCTGTAAACGCTGGCTGAATTTCTTTGACTTTGTTCGCAGTAATGAGTTCAGTGTTACCATAGTCAATGAAGAAGGCTTTCATCTTGCCAGGTTGCCGGGCAACAATGACTGCTCTATACCAACCGTTATCAACTGAGTACTGAGCAACACACTGCTTACCGACAGTTGTTTGCGTCAAAATTCCCTCTGAGTCACCAAGTTTGGCGTAGTAGGATTCCAAGTTATCCATTAGGGCATTGAATTGGTCGGACGTTCTGATTGGTTGGCACCAAAATTCAGCCGGGCTGTTAATGTAAGTGACAGTAACACTTATAACTTCATCTTTTTTGTAGTTAATTTCTTGAAACACCAGTGGCCCTGGAGAGATTGGTGGCACAACACGATTCGCTGAATCTTTTGCTCGGCTTTCAGTTGGACATCTAACATCGGGAGTGACTTTGGACAGTGTTGCTGGGGTCAGAATGCTATTGGCTGATTTGGTCGTACCAGTGGGGGTACATGTGTTGCTAGTTACTGTAAGAAAAAACATTTTTATTGGTCAGAAAAAATAACTAGTAAACATGACAACATGTACAAGTAAGATTCGTATATAAACTAGTAACTATGAGACGGAAAGTAAGAAAAAACAAGCAGCCTCTCGGCTGAGATAGCTCCGCTGTTAGCAAGGCACATTTCAATTGAAGAACTGAAGATATCATTAGAAAATAAACAATATGTATAGTATGTATAGCAATTGGACTTGCTGTTTTTAACAAGAAGTCAAAAATATCACTTTTTACCAAAAATGACAAAAATATTCATCAAAATTAGAGAATTAAAGATATCATCACGAAATGAACAAGTCTGAGAAAGGTCCACGTGTAGTATCTATATATGTAATATCAAAATAATTGGACTTGCTGTTTTCAACAAGACGTCAGAAATATCACTATTTACCAAAAATGACAAAAATATTCACCAAAATTAGAGAATTGAGGATATCATCACAAAATGAACAAATCTGAGAAAGATCCACATGTAGTTCCTATATATGTAATATCAAAGCAATTGGACTTTTGGTTTTTAACAAGAAGTCGAAAATATCACTTTTTTTCCCAAAAATATTCACCAAAATTAAAGAATTGAAGATATCATCATGAAATGAACAAATCTGAGAAAGGTCCACATGTAGCATCTATATATGCAATATCAAAGCAATTGGACTTGCGGTTTTTAACAAGAAGTCAAAAATATCACTTTTTACCAAAAATTACAAAAATATTCACCAAAATTAGAGAATTGAAGATATCATCATGAAATGAACAAATCTAAGAGAGGTCTACCCCAGGTACATATACACCAAGTATCAAAGCATTCAGGCTTGTAGTTTTCCTGCTATATTTTTTAAATTCTTTTTAATACATTTTAAAATGGCTTACCATTTGGCCATCATGAATTGGACTGCCAAACAAATACATGTGCATAGGTGAGACATGATTACATTATGTATGATGTCTGAGTGAAGTTTGAATGTAATTGGTCCAGATCTGGTTGCGGAATTGTACAAATGCTTGATTTTGATGAATTTTAAGCACAAAAATGGCTGAAGTTCCAATTGTGATCGGCCCAGGCATGCGCAAGATACAAGTGGGACAGGACAATCAATCCATAAGTTACTGTTTCGGACTGCTATAATTAAATAAATTAACTTTATTAACCAGCCAGCACCTGCCCAAAGTGACACTGTCTACAGCACAGCACATGTGTGTATTTCTACTGTTCTATTATTGTTTTTATCTACATGTGCTCCTTTATTGTCATTATAATTTTGACAATAGTTTCTATTTACTAACTTGCCTGTTGTATCTTTACAAATAGGTCTATATCATCCTTTTTAATTTTCTATACATATAT